AAAACCTTAATGTTACTCAAAGGGAGCCCAAGCACTGTAGGAGATTTAATGCCAAGGTTTAGGTCCAAGCTTTAAAGAAAAGTTTTCCCACTTCAAAGCACATTTTCCAGTTTCCATCATTGAAATACTACATCCTCACATCCACCATGCAATCTTGCCTCTTGAACACCAACTCCATTTGTTACCTACTCTGTGAGGAGGTTGTTTTCAGACCAAAGGATAACACTGATGCAAAACACAGTTACCTATACAAAACAGGTCACATTTAAATTGCACTTCAGAACCAGTTCCAAATGTTTCTAAAACACAGAAACTTCCATTGGCCCTATTAAAAACGGATCATAGAACAACATGAAAATACGAACTACTCAAAACCAGAACAACTAAGAACAATTCTAAATGAAGAATAGGAACCAGCACTGTCCCTCAGCAGCAAAATCAGACATTAGAAAAGGCTGTGACAGGGCTACGCTGGAAGTGGTCAGGAATGCTCTGGAAATGCTGGTGTTTGGCCAAGTTCTTGCTCACCCACTGTGTGAGGCTGTACTTTTGGGTAGGTTTCTTGGTGGACCTTGGGTAATTTCTGTAAAAGTAAGTAAAACAGTTAAAACAAACACAAGAAAGGATATGTATGAGAGGCTCGAACAGCATCTTCTCGAAAATGCCTTCCCCATTCCTTGGGGCTTGCAGCTGGTACCTAATTTTCTTGTTATGAGGTTTTAAAAGGGAAACCACATTGTAAGACGGCACCTTGGTAAGTAACAATATGAAAGTTTAAAGATTGTCCTTTTAGGAACACTGCCTCGTGCTTTGTTACCTTCTTTGCAAAGCTCTTTTTCCCTGGCCCAGCAGAGAAGGCTGAGCGCTCCACTACATAGCAGTTTAAACAAGAGGTAAATTTTCCTCAGAGTGCTGTACACATGTTAAATACTCTCACTGGCTACATCTAAGCATGTTCTGAAGTAACAAGACAAAACCCCACAAACTTTAAGCAGTCTTAGAGGAGCAAGATTACAAAACAAATTACATTGCAATAGGCTTGGTTATCTCCAGGCCTCAGAGTGTTACAAAGCTTTTCCACATCATTATAGGCTGCTTTGCCCCTTCTGCGTTTTGAAAAAAGCCAGCTCTGCTATCTTATTTTTTTCTTATTTGTGCACAGGCATCAGGATAACTCAGGAAATAGCATTTATAAACTGCAGACCCATCTGAAGAACGAACAACCAGAAGGGTCACTCCTGCAAAAACACTATCAAAGCAGTTGGTTTGGAGAAGGAGCATCTGGCTGGCACAGGGTCGTCACATCCACAACGCGGAGAGTTTCATTTCTACAGCAGTTGCTCGGCAAGAGCAGCCAGCGACCAGATAGGTCTCAAGCCAGCAAAGCAACTTGTTCACGCCAACAGCTGGGGAGAGATACCTGTGTTACACTCAACATACATTTATCATAATGTTCAGAAAAGCTATGTTGTGACTGGATCATACAGGCTGCTCCCAAGAGGTCTTTCTAGGTCAGGGTTACATGGGTCACAGAGCACCAAACTTCCACTCATTACCTGAGCGCTCCAGTACTACTGATCTTACAGCCAGTGCTATCTGTGTACACAGAACAAGCACCTCTATTCAAAAGAGGGGATCTGAAGGCCTTGCATAGCAAATCCTTGGCAAGAGATGCTTCAGCAGAATGCAAGAATCCTTGAATTCGCGTCACAAAATAGGAAACAACCAGTAAGTCCAGCCTCGCTGTAGCATTTGCCCTTCTGCTCACTCAGAACACGTACTACAGCTCAGTGAAAGGCAACTTCCTTGGAATGCTGCCCTTGCTGAAGTCCACTGTTTCAAGGTGCTCTCAGTACAGAACAGTCCGTGTCCTTGCCCAGTCGAAACTCAAAGGTTTTTCCATCCTGCCACCGCAGTCATGTGATTAATGTGATTCACGGTTCTGCGTAACACCACTTCCTTTCCAGGGAACATAGCGTCTCTTGAGCAAATCCAGGTCTCCTTCATAAACTGCAGTATCAGCTTTTATTTACCCAAAGAAATAACTTCTTGTCAAAAAAAGATACTGCTAGAAAGGATTTCAGAAGTGTTCTTGAAAAAAATCCATGTTTTTGGGCTGCATTGTTTAGGAAGAAAGGAGGCACTCCAAGACAGCTAACAAAAGGCAAACTGTCACACAACAATTCATGTTGTCTGCAATAAGCTGGTGCAAGGGGGTGTGTGTGTGAGACTAGAAGAAATCACAACTTTCCACAAATTCTCAGCCTTCCTATATAGAAGTCCCCCTTCCTTGCCATTCTGAGCCACAGTCGAAATGGGCCACAGAAAGAGGAGGGTCATTTCCTACTGTCAGGGGTGCACCCTTCACCCCTGCACCTGAGGGAAGACAAGAAGTTCTGCAAACTACCACCATGACTCACGAGTACTTCACACCAGTAAGAGGTTTGAGCTCCTCTACAAGAGGCAAAGTCACAGGAGCAGACTAAGCCCATTAAGTATTTGGAGAGAGCTATTATCACAGTGCCTCACGTAACTATCTAACCCAAGACTTAGAGTAGGAATCCTTATGGCCATTACACATGAGGCAAGGGGACAATGACACCCTAGATAAGTTCTGTTCCACGGCAGTTCACTTTAAAACATTTTGATTTCTTTCTCCTCAGGCACAGTCCATCCCCCATCCTTTCACAACAGCTGAGACCAAACTACAGATTTAGGATGAGATTTTCAGGCAAGTTCCGCTCTCATTTAGAAACCAGGAGCTCTGATTATCTCAGCAAAAGTACCTGCAACCCAAAGCCGTGTGGTTTGCCACTAGAGAAGCCCCTGGACCAGTCGTGTAGACTAGGGAGTATCACGCTCTGCTAAGAACAGCTCACTCCTCCCACCACTCCCCTCACAGTAAGCCTCCTTGCAATCTGCTTTATCAGTTCCTACCCCATCCCCTACTCCAAACCCCATCTCGCATCCCTCTTGAAATTTAGGGTTTGTAGGTGGATTTCATTTGCTTTGAAGTGAAATCTCCCTCCTAGGCTCAGCCATAAATGTAACTCCTCCTTTATGTCAGCACAGCCCAAGTCCTGCACCTAACCTGCGTGCTTTGCATTCAAGCAAAATGAGTTTGGGCAGGCAAGAACCGTTGCGAGTTTTTTCCTCAGCCAACTCAGTACCAATCAGCAGACCAGACTGCTTCAAGGCAGAGCCTGCTAGCACAGCGTTCATTTGTATTTCACAGATTTGTTTCTCCATATGTTCTCTTACACTAGTCTCCCTTTCCATCACCTTAAACCTGGTGTGTCTGTTTTTTAAAGATATTGATCTTTGTTATTACAGTAAGACCAGATGGTCTGTGACTCTTTATAAGGTATTTCCTCCTCCTCCTCCTCTCTCTTTGATTCAAGAGAGTTCCAAGAAAATAATTTATCAGGTTTCTCCAAGGTTGTAAGAAGCTTGACAAAATTACTAAGCATCACGAACCTCCACCAAACCAACCAACGCTCAAGGAGAACTCCTGGTGGAGTCCTGCTAGCAGAAGCAGAGAAAGCAGTGGTTGGAGGTCAGACAGGAGCTAGCTCAGCTTCCCAGGTACCGGGGGTGCATGACTCCGCCGAGAGTGATGCCACTCCGAATAACATGAGAATACTTGTCTGAGCAGCAGGTGGTGCAAGCACTATCCCGTATGCACAATTGCAATGTTAATGACCTGTGAAAGCAGATCTCCTGAAGTGCAGATGTTCGGGTGGAAACCAAGAGAAGGCTATGTTCAGAGAGAAAAATGCTTTTTCTGTTAAGTTTGTCCTTCCCCTGCCCATTTAAAAATAGGCCTATCCAGCTACGTACATTGTCGAGGACAAGACCAGGCAGCAGAGTGCTAACGTTCAGTGCCAAGCGTCACAGTTATAAAAGTAGGAGCCTCATTACTTCTGTAGACTGATACAGAACTAACCAGAATTGCCAAGGAGGATCTCATCAAGAAGGATATGATTCTATTTACTGTTGGATAAAGGGCAATAATGAAGTGGGAATGCTAACAAATGGTCAGCTGGCAGAAATCTTTTGTGGTCAATTATCAATTTCAGCCACTCATTTCCAAGCAGATGTTCAAATCACATCTCGTTTTTACATCTGCTACAACGCAGCCTCAGCAGCATTTATATTCCTATAGGAAGCTGCAAATAAATTTATCTATTCAGATTGAATATCCTCTAGAAACTAGAATGAGAGGAAGAACAACCAGAACCACGGGTTATCTCCCAACTCACTTGAGATGGCTAGATGCGAAAAGTTCACTCTGAATACAAAAGGATTTCTTCCAACTAGTCGATGTTCAAAGACTGCACACGTGGTAGCCAGTGCAACACACTCACCCAACGCAGATGTAAGAAAATTGTATTTATAGAGAACCTGCAAGTGCAAGATACCATGCAGATAAGTGAAAAGATAAAGCCTCTGCTGTAGCCAGCCTGTAATTCATCCAGACAACATACGAGCAAGGAGCAAGAGACAGGATACAAGGAAGAGCAGACAGATCATGTAGAAGAGGGGATAGAGCGAAGTCAAACACTACTGTAAGACAAATGCCAGGAGATTTGCAATACAAAACAGAGCTAAAGATTTGTAGCAGCAATATATTAGTTACTGCTTCCCAAAGGGAATTCCCTTGCTTGCTCTGAAACCTGCTAATTTTCCTTTAGGAATTTCTTGGGATCATTCTGCATTTCTGCACCTCCTACGCAAATGATACGCAAGACCTTGCTGCAGATCCAGGTGCACAGAAGTACCACACAGGGTCAAAGTCAGCCCACCGAGAAGGCTTTTCTGTGACAACTGGGAAAGCCCACGCTGTCTGTCGGGCTGAATTCCAAGCCTACAGCTATTTGGAATAAAAGAGGTTTGCACTAATAAGAAAACCAAATTGTGTGCATCACAGACAATGTTCTTCCCCAGCAAAATAGATCTCTATTTCACTCACCAGCCTTGTTCATTTGGAGCTCCTGCCTGATTTTCTGTGACTCAGAACATACGTCTTGCATTTTTAATTTGAAAGGAAGAGAAAACAGGCCATTTTAGCCTTCCTTGCATAGTCTCCTCTGCATTACTTATGCTGTAGTACGTTCACATACTGGAAAGCAGCCCTGTGGCTATGCAGCTGTTCGTGCTGCCCAGATAAGTGCAGGCTCCATGCAATGAGCCACAAAACTGTCAGTTTCTTATAACTCTCAAGAAATGACAATTATTGCACCCATGAACACTCAGAATAACCACAGTGGGAGGCCATCTCTGGAAGCTACCAGAACACTCTTTGCCCTTCAGAACACCCCAGTTCTACCCATCAGACACTGCTCTTCAGCCGATATCCACACCCGCTCTTTACAGACACCCTCCTTTAAACCTCCGCAGCTGATAGCTCTTGGATGACACCGTTGAGGGAAGCAACGGGTAGAAGGTGTCAATAGTAAATCCGAATCTCAGCACTTAAGCTAAATGTTCCCTGAGTCTGGGTTCATAGTTGTGGACTGACAAGAACAAGTTACCTCCCAACACAACAAGCCAGAGCTCAGCTCTGCTCTTCCCAGGTAACGTGGGTCTGTTTTGGGAGCACCCCTGATTTACCACAGCAGGCCCCCCTGTATAATGTTTCCCAGGTATCCCAAACTATGAAACTCATCTGAACCAGTCCTGGAACAAGACCGATTGCTGTGTGGGAACTCTCTGCGTGGTAGTGCTAGCGAGTGTAGCAGGCACTTTTTATTTCCCTCTGAAAAACAAGTACATTCAAAACATCAAAGAATACAAGTTCAGCAAGCCAGGCCTCCTGCTAGGATATCCATCCTCCACTCTGCCCTCCCCACCGGTACAGCCTCACCCTATCCCATCCGGGGGTTACCTGGTGTAGGAGCTACTCTTTTCTTCATACGGACGTGCACACTCTGGATATAAATGTTTCTTTTGCTCAAGCTCCACTTCCGAAATGCACGTCCGTTGATTCAGTCTTTAAAATAAAAAACAGCGTTAATTTTTTTAGACAATTTGTCAGATTAGGTTACAGAAGACAGTGTCCTATAGAACTAGTACGGACATGAACTTCTTGTAGCACTATTCTGTGATTGCAAAAATAAAAGTATTTATTTGAATAAAGTTGCAAAGATAACATACTGAGAGCAAAGCAGGACAGCGTTGTCAGCTGAGTGAACCAGCAAGTCACTGTCCTGGCTAACAAGCCAGAAACCTGCAGTGAGCCCTCAAAAGCAGCATATTTTTCACGTAACTCAAGGCCACGCTGGGAACGGCAACGCACAGAACATCCGAGTGCAGCAGGTCTGCAGCGGCCACAGGGAAGCACCAAACTGACAACTCCAGGCCCAGGAGCACCGGAGAGCAGAAGACAACCATCCCTGCCCAGCACCCAGCACTGCTCTGCTGCTGCCATCTGCCGGAAAGCACTCCAGAAGGCGAGCGGCCACCAAGCCAAGCCAGCACAAACATCTCTTCTCCTGCCCTGCAGACCACTGCCCAGGACTGCCTCAGCAACCTTCTTTCCCATTTGGACCAGCCCTATACTCTTCCCGCTCTTACAGTATCTTACAGGGTAAAACATTAAGTACTTTTCCCACTATTTCAGTGCACCTTAAGAAAAAAATAAAGAGAAAACCAGCAGGACACAACCAACCAAACTGGTTTGGGAAATTTTTCAGAGTGCAAAGGCATTTAGAGGCTCCTAAGAGATTACCTTTCCTCCTCCTGTGGCACAGGAATAACTTTGCCAGGCTTCTTCCCACTGGTTGTCTCTTCCTGCCCAATCTGGCCTACAGCTGTATCACTTAACTAGAAAGATAAGGAAAAAGGGCATTAACACCTAATAGAAAAATCATTCCAGTAAGTCTTGCTTATATAGTTATATAAAAAAAAAATCACACTTCCCTCTGCTTGAAAAACCTCCCCTTACTGGGTAAAAATGCACACTTGTGTGCATACAGACATTACTACAAGTACAAATCAAAAGGAATGGAATTAAAAACATTTTAGTTACAAGAATTAAGATGTGTGTTTACTTTAACGCTGTTTGATGGCTGTTCAACTTCTGAAGATTCCTGCGCCCCATCATCCTCTGGAGAGTCTAATTTCCTTGAAAAACAGCTCTCTGCTTCTTTGGAAAGTTCTTGGTTTCTCGACCCAGAAGCCGAGGTGTCCCACACCATCAACACAGGTGCTGAACTCTCATCAGCTGTCCTCTGGCCACAGGCAAGGTCAGAGGAGGGCACGGATCTTTCCACACGATCCCTACAGAAGTTAGACACATCTCTGCTCGCAAAGGGAGTCTTTCCCAGGCAATCCACACCCAGGCTTTGCCGGCCATTAGACACCAGCCCCTCCGAGGATTCTTCGAGAACACAGCTACTAGCGGTTTTATCATACTCTAGGCAATCATTTACGATTGCTTCTGAAGCTTCTCTTTCGGCTTCCTCCAAGCAGTTGTCCTCCAGAGGCTGATCTACATAGTCAGCATCAATTGGGCTAAGACTCAGAAGCTCCTGAATGTCAAGGTCAAACAACATGCGAGTTACTTGGGCTGACTGCAGATGGTTCTCATCCAAGCTAGCACTTTCATTCAAACGGCTAGGATAACAGCCGTTATCAGAACTGACTGAAGAACACTCTCTGGACAGAGGAACATTTGGTTCCTCTGCGACCTCCGAGGCTACGTTTGCATCTTCGCTGATGACTGATGCCCCAGTGCAGCTGCTGCTCTCGTCCTTTTTACTCTCTCCATTTACATTTTGGCTCAGAGTGCTTTTTCTAGTTAGGTACCGCTCAAATTCCACGCAATCATCTGCCAAGATTTCCTGGATCTCTTCCTCAGTGTAATTGAAAGGAGAGTTCCCTTCTTCGCTGTCTGACAGTTCCAACAAGGAGTCATCTGGCTCGCTATCATCAAAACATCTGGTTGCATCTAGAGAAATGGCTACATCATCGTATTTTGACGCAGAAGAACTGGCAACAAGGTCGTCATGGCCAGTATCATCCAGAAAAGGAGAGGATCCTTGAAAGCAGGCAGAACCTGGGGAACAGAGCAGCAGTTTCTCTGATGGATCTGGAGTGCTACAGTGATGACCCAACACACAAGCTTTCTTAGCTGACTGCAGGGCCTGAACCTGCTCTGTGGAATCCAACAGCCTTTTGGTGCTGGGAACTGTACTATGAGCAGCAGGTTTAAATTCATGAAAAAGACATAGCCCAAAGGCGTGAGGGGAATGGTCATCCATGTCGCAGTCGGTTCCTGTATCTCAGTGACCCTGTGCCTTCTGCTTACAGCTCTAGAAGCCTGCTCTGAAGCTCATCTGATCCTGGTGCCCTTTGATCAGCCCTTTCAGAAGAGAAATCAGCAGGACTCAGCTCCAACCTGCCAGCAAAAGACAACATCTTAATTAAAGAAACTCAGCCGTTTTCCAAAGATGCAGTAATGTGACAGGGAAGGCAAAAACACTAGCTGAGGTACAACAATTTTAACTCCCTAGTCTCCATTACCTCTACTCCTGACCATTTTAGGTCTTAACAACATGTAACAACAACCAGTCCCTCATTCCGTGAGTGTTCTCACACACGAGGCTGTTTGGCTTTATCAAGCAGGGCTAATACAAGCCCAAATCATCAACGCAGTCTGTACCTTCTCCTCCCAAGCTGCTGTAAATCAGTCATTCTAACACCAGATACCAGTATTCACAAATTACGTTCTTTACGACCTTACATTTGAAGTCCAGAGCACACTTTAGGAATTAAATAAAGCCTCACAGACCTTCCCAGTGTCCCAACCCCCACCTCTGTCCTTCAAAGATACGAAACAAATAAAAAGTCTTTTTTGGGTTAGGAAAAACTGAGCAACGGAAGAGTAACTGTCAGGGAGCTAAAAGGACATTCAGCAGCACATTAGTCACTAACACACTCATACAAAATGCATGTTATAATGAAAGATCAGAAGATAAAGACCCTTCCTGTAAAATTCAATAGTTTAAAAGTATTCACAAACAAAACCTGTTCTCCTCTTACTGAGGACTCACACTAACGTGAATCTTTTGACTTGGAAAGCCCTGCATTTGACTCTCACCCAGCAGGAGAATCTGGACTAAGGCAAGGCATTTCCTGTCCTCTTTGACAACAGATTTAAAGGAATACCTTTTGTCTTTCCGTTGGTTTGACTACTTACTGCTTTCAAAAAGAGGGGGGGGGGGGGGGGCGGTTAGCCACTAGGTGGCAATGGTGTACCTACTCCAGGAATAAAACTGGGGCAATTCTGCTGCTTCCTCTTGTCATTCTGTCCAAATAATAAAAATCAGCACTTTCAGAATAATGCTGTAACCACACTGAAGAAAGAAAATACCTTGGGAATCACCTACGTGCATACAAAACCTATACAAGAACATACTGGAGTCACGGGCAGTCCTCACTAGATAGTACTTGCCAGGAGTTCTGCAATTTAGCTACAAGTGCTGAAGTGCTTTGAAGAGAAACAAAAGGCAAATAAAAACAAATTCAATGTGGATTTAGTCCTACAGAGTGTAGCAGTCTGATAACCTAGCTCCTAACCAATAAGGACTTGAAAGAGAACCAAACATTTTAAGCCTTTTTTCTGGAACCGGCTTACAAAAAGTGCATTCGGAGATGTTTACATGCTCAGCCTGCAGACAAGGAAATGGTTTCTTTACTGCTGTGACCTTCCCAATTCCCCTAACTGCAACTACGCTGGGTCTGTACTTTCAGCCCTACATCAGCTGATTCTGGAAGCGGAACGCGGGTAACTATGCAACCGATTATGCACGAGCCCAGACAAAGCCCCCTGCCATTCCCCACAGAAGTGTGTTCAATTCAGGGGCTGTTCAAGGATTTACACCAGGGTAATGCTCCATAACAGTTTAAATGGCTCTTAAACCGATGTAAGACAAGGCTGCCTGCTGCCACCCTCTCACCCTCTCCCTCAGTCCAGCACTGGTGCTCGTACGGTCAGACCACGCTAGAGCCAGCTCACCCCCAACCGCAAAAGCACCAGCCATGGATGGGCCATCCTCCTAGGGGCTGCCAAAGGCAGGCTCTTTGGAAAGCTACACACGCTTTATGTGGGTTTCTAGCACAACTTCAGTAAATAATGAGATCAAAAGATAAAGCTACTGAGAAACACAGCTCTGCCAAGGCTCACGGACCGGCCGCCTTGCCCGCTCCGCTCCCCGCAGCCAGCCACAGATCTCGCAAGCCTGCGGCGCTGCTCTGGGATCTGCTCCCTGGAGAGACAACGGGGAGCAGGGGGCACCTGCAGCACGGGCCGCAGGGTAACAGCCCCCTCAGCCCCACGATCCGCCCACCGCATGAGGTATCTTCTCCGAGAAAGCAGAATCTCGAGACGTGGGGAACCTGCTCCCATCTCACCCGAGCGCACGAAGGCAAACGCCAGCGTTTCACCCCCGCCGCTCCCTCACCTCGCCCTCTCTCACTCACGGGTCTATTCGTACCCGC